TGGGCATACTGCTCGCCCACCATGTTCATGTCTCCAGTGCCAAGATAAGAGCTTCCGCCTGCCAAGGCTTGCAAAATAGAGACTGCACAATTTACAACCTCTCCACCAATTTTGTCAAAAACACCAGCTCCATTCGCGTACACTTGACCAGCACCTAATACAGCAGCTACACCCCAAGCGCGATTTTCCAGCTCCGCTATGTGACTGAAGAATCCTGCCCCTACATGGCTCATTCCGAAACCTGCACGAAATAAGCAGACAAAGGCGCTCTGCTGCTGGTGACCGACATTGACGAGGACTCCTCCACCAACAAAAAAGTTTTGTCCCGCTCCTATGGTAAGGATCGTATAAATGGTAAGTAAGAGGGTTCTTGAAAATGTATCCTCCCAAATTCTCTTCAATGCTTTTCTTACCGAGCTGTCCGATAAGCACGGCAGATCCTATTGTCCCACCGCCGATGCGAATGTGCGTACCACCTAGAAACGCCACGGCATTTCCAACGTTGATGGATGACAGATAGGGAGCGTAAAAGACATGATAGACGCCTACAGTGACACAGGACCCCGCCATAGCTAGAAAGTCTCGGCCAACCTGTGCCACATTAAATTTGGGCAGGCCATAAGGATACCAGCGTAGCACTTGACAACCGTTGCAGGAAAAATCCCCACCAAGCACCATAACGTGTCCGCCAAACGCACGCCGACGCTGCAAGGACGAGCCTAAATCGTTTATAAAGGTTTGGAATGTTTGTGGCGGATCCCGAAAGATAATAGCCGTTCCGCGAAAATAACCTCCAAGCTGCACGAGCACAATACCCCCAACTATCACACTTAGCATGGGACTCAATTTTCGGGGAGACGCGCGGAAGAGGCTCACAAAGCGAATATCCAGGTTGCCCCCCGCCTGTATTTCGAAGATTCTGTTGACACCATTCTCGCCCTTCATCTCAGGAAGATCTATGGGATGACCGAGAACGATTTTGCGGGTAGTCAAAACCATGGTATCTTGGATAACGTACTGTTGGAAGGGCCTCTTGGTTAGAATGATGACGGTGCACTTGCTTGTGGCCCTCACCATTGCCTCTAAATCGGACGCACTCACAGCATGACATACGATCAGGCCGGTCAGGCTGGCAGCCTGAAGGGCGAGGGCACTGAAGGCGTGCTTTGCAGCAGAGACATTGGGAAGAGAACCGATAAGAGATCCTGCCGCTCTGTAAGTAGTTCCACTGATGTGTAAAGCTATGTCAGAGGCATTCAACGTAGTAGAAATGGTCTTTGCAGGCGATTCATCTTCATGTCTGTCTAGCGGGGAGCCTTCTACGTCCTCAAACCATAAATATATATTGGGGCAAAGAGTAGAAAAAATACAACGGTGTGATTCCGGTTACAAAAAGCCCAGTTTATTTTGCTACCTTCGGCTCAGTTTGAATAACTAATGTACTATCAATAGACAATAAACATAGTTGAAATCCTCGAAATAATAAGGCAAACTCTGGCTGAATCAGATGACATCGAGGGAAAGAGAAATGAGTATACTCTCGCAACACCACCACTTACCAACTCGCTGCGTAACAGAGAAAGAGGCCATTGTGGTGTCATTACTACTTAAATAGATCCCTGGTACCCCATTTTTGGACTTAAAACCTTTTTTAGCCCGGCCATAGACTGTAAAGTCAATGGCGAACGCGCCGACCACTGCAAGGAGCACGAGGGCACTGAGGAAGATAGTGAGCAGGTAATCACGACAATGATGGCAGCTTTGCTCTTCTTGAGTTCCTCTTGCAGTCGATATGCTTGTCATGAGCGAGAAACCTCCTTGCTTATCAAGGATCGAATCGTCCCTGTAAAAAGATTGCGTATTTATCATTAACGAAGAAGTGCTTCTCTCCAAAGGTCATTTCAAATGAGATAGTCGCTCCGCGAATGTAAGCAAGCCCCCAGATTTGCAAAAGAAGTATCAGGGCAATTTTTGTCTGGCGTGAGTGGCCATTTTTTAAGAAGGACTTACCAGGATACACGGAAAGACGTATGAGGCATGGAAAAACAACGCCCACGAGAGAAGCTGTGCAACGGAATTTTAAAAACCTCCCCGCGCTAACCTCTGAGTGTTTTGCCATTCGACACCGATTGTGATTGAGCCTACCCTACAACAAGCTTTTGACTATCACATTCTATACGAACTGTAGAATAAACTTTTATACATAACCTGGTGAATGGCTCGCCGATCGGACCAACGGCGGCGGTGGGAAAATAGACTCTCGGACATGACCAAGAGGCGGCGACTTATGGTGAGCATGTCCAAGAAAGTCAAAGTCGGTCTCTTTTCGACAGAGCAGACTGAATCTTTCAAGCTTCAACGTGAAGAATACCCATCATAATAAAACTTTCGTATTTCAAGTATGCTATGCATTTCGATGGCAAAATGAAGCTCTGCCTTTTGGTAGACTTAGCCTTGCAGCCAAGTATTGGATAAGCATGCCATACATTTCCCCGGATGGAGCAATATATCACATTGCCCTGCAGCACTTTGCTAAATTGGATCACAACGAAGTATGGGATGCATATGTCCTGCTTAATGGTAAAAGTGTATCGTGGAAAGGTATGGAGGAAAAATTGGTCATTAATCATCTATGCATGATTTGATGAAAGGTTATGTGTGGATAGCAAGCAATATGTTGAACGATTTGATGTCTGTTGAGCAGATCCATAATTTTGTAAGCCATGTCAAAAAACAAAAGGAGATCGGATACGCGAAGTGACCTTGTTTTTAAAAACAGCCATATTTCAGTCAGCCTCTTCTAAGTGACCGTTACTTGTGCATCTTTTCCAACCCCTACGTAGCGGTGACCTTCAGGCCATGAAAGACACAAAAAAGTTGTACTAGAAAGATATAGTAAGGAGAAAATCGATTCTACCCTTACTTTACGAATCGCTTGTGTGTACAAAACAAAGTTACCTTAACATATACACATGAATGGGTATACCTGAACAAGCTTGTGCAGGCTGAAGTCAGGTAATTTACAGAGATAGACAAAAAAGTTTCAGAGGGACTCGCGAGGAGGAATAATTGTGTTCAAGGCACAATGAGGCATCAATACAACATCGTCATTTGGCAGAAGACCGACCTGAATGAAATTATTGCCTCAGTAAAACGCTAGCAATGATAAGTCACAATACAAACATTTCGAAAATAATCTAGCTTTTATCCACCGTCTCTTGCTTTTTTGCTTTTGTACTTCTTACTGTTTCCTCCAACATAATTCTCACTTATACTCTTACTTTGCTCATGGAGCCTGTCAAAAATTGCACAGCGCTCTGAACTATTGTCCTATTTCTTAAGACACTTTCCCCCATGATCCCTTTCTGTTTTTTTGACCACCCAGTATTATTATGGTGTCTGTGAGGAAGAGGTGGATACGAAATGCAGGACATGAGAAATTAAAAAAAGGTCAGGGCATTTTCACTCAATACATCGCAGTTCTTGACCTTGAACGTATGCAGACTTTCCATTTCCATACATTACTAAGCCGGCCAGTGAGATTAAAAAAGGAGTCCCAAGCCATGCTTTCTTAAAAAGAGATTCTTACCTATAATTTATTGAAAACATCGCGTAATCTTTTTCAAAACAGCTACAATCTTGACGGCAGATCGAGGAAAACGGCACCTTTCAAGCTTAGTTCTCCAGCACAGATGACGGCAACAAGTCAAACAGGTCACTCTCGGAATAGATCGCCGGCATGCCCGCGTGGTACGCGCGCAGGTAGGCTCGGTTCCCAGACACTCCATCAAGCGGCTCAGGAGCCGTCCACGACACCTCTCGCACCTCGCCGGGGGCGATCCCGCCCGGCACCGTAGCGACAGTCACGCCCTTCTTCTCAGTGCCCTGGAAGAGCTCCACGACCACGTTTCCCTTCATCGCAAAGTTCTCCAAAAGCACCGTGTACGGCTGGCCGACCACTGCGTGCTGGACGGGTGCCACCTCATGCGGTGAGACAAGCGTCACGTCGGGCCACAGAGACCCTGTGTCGAGAGCGCTGCCCGTGTACAGCCCCTGGTAGAACTTGAGTCCCTGAGCCGTATCGAGCGCCGGGAAGAAGAGCGTCGATGGCTTGCTAACCTTCACGTCGCAGAACGGCACGTCAC